TAATAAATTATCCATGCTGAAACCACAAGGGATGTCACAATGAGGTCATGACCCCAACAGCCGTGTGTAGCTAGAATAATTCAATAGTCACAAGGCAGCCTCTACAACACCATAAAAAAATAGCTGAAAATTATTATTTCTGGCCAAAAGCAATAAGTACTTTCCACACCGTATATATCAGACTGTTGCTCTGCACAGTTTAGACTGTGACCCCAATGACAATCATTTGTGGGAAACGCTAGACTGGCCATTAAGTGTGTGAACTGACATAGACAGGAGGCATTCAACAGTCATATCTGCTGGAATCGTATCAGAAATCATTACATAGCCTAAAGGCAGGCTGACGGATCTGATATAACGGAGGCGTATGTTACACTAACAAGCAGTTACCTAAAGAGGATTTCTGTTTTTTTTGATTGCCTTGACCTGCCAATTAATTTAATACACAACCAGTTGCACAAATTAATAATCAGTCCTGGTTAAATTGGAAATCAGCCAATCTTCAGTGTTTGCAAGCCAGCAGACCCACTCAGTGAATACAGTAGGGCCGGTTTGACACATGGTGGAGCTCTGAAGCATAGCAGAGCACTTGGGGATTTATACTTGTTGACATTTACAAGCCCCATGCTGGCTTAATGATGCAGGAACAGAAGCAGCCAATGCACCTAAGCAATGACCTTTAGCACATTGTGGGAATGGACCCACAAACCCAGCCGTTCAGATACAAAAGACTGTCAGTCTACCTCTGAACTAACACTCGGACAAGCCACTAATGGAGCTCATTTTTTATGGCAGAGAGAGTATGCTTAAATTGGCATGGATGGTTGTTTATGGTTGCCCAGGGTTTGATGGATTCTCAGAGAACACCTCTGGGATTTGCTGTTAAGTCATCAACAGTTTTGAAATGCCAAGGTTATGGCGAATAAACAAGGCAGGGATCCCTAAGTCAAGTGTAAGTAATGAGCTATTGATTTCCTGCATCCTGTGACATAATCTTGATGGCACAACATCAGAGTTGGACCAGTTTTAGCTCGCTTATGAAGGAAGAGAAGCAATCTTCTCATGCATTCACTAGGGTTGCTAAACAACACATCTAAATCTTTAACCCTCGTGTTGTGTTCTGGCCATTTTGACCCAGAGAGGATTTTCTTTTTCCCAAAAATACTTACTGGCTTTTTTCACAGATATGCAAATATGACCGGCATTCAAAAAATGTGCTTAGAAATGTATCATTATGCTACATTATTACCAAATATTGGATTTAAAACCGATTGATCATAGGCCTCATTGATCTGAGCATATGCTGACTTTTGCAAAAAATTATCCACAAAATGTATATATATATTTTTTTTTTTGTTTGTTTTTTTTACTCAAAAACAGAGGTGCATAAGTTCAGATCAATAAAGCCTACGATCAATCCATTCTAAAAAGAAACACAAAACCTCTGCTAATTGAAAGAAAACATGTTGACAAAAAGATTGGATCCAAGATTTGGTTATAACATAGCAAATACATTTACAATAATTATTTTTTAAGGCCAGTCTCTTTTTGATTTGGAACACAAAAATGCTGTTGCTATTCAATTATTCAACATTATTAGAAAATACTGTTTCAGTCTTTCTTATTCATTTAAAAATTAATGTGTAATTTAGTAATAATCATATTTATGTATCCATTTGCTGTCACTATATAAGCTTGTAGCAGCCTGAAGCTTATTCGTTTCACTTTTGGTGTGAAAGCACTTTTAGATTTGCCAAAAATAGAACTTTTTTATATTAAAAACAAACAAGCAAGCGCAGCCCAGATGAGACAAAGTAGCGCAAAACTAATGTAACACATTACTTTCCATAAAAGTAACTAAGTAACACAATTAGTTACTTGTTTAGGGAGTAACGCAATATTAAATGAGTAATTATTATTATTATTATTAGATTTGAAAACATAACCTTACTAGAAGTTCCTGTAATGAAGCCAAAATTTGAAAGGTGAAATTGATAGAATTATTTAAAGAGCTGTTAACTAACCTTTCCATTCTTACCTGGTAGCATGTGCTTTTAAAGTCTCCAACCATCCAAACACTCAGTGAGAGTGTTTTCTCGTGCATGCATTATATGGTATGACTCTTCAGTGAAAATCCTTTTATCTTTAACCTCTTGAGCGGATCAGTCATTCCATTAACTGTCTGATGGCTCTCTTATACTCATGCGGCTGACAGCTGATATAGGTATCACAGATTCATCCGTTTTGACCTTTTTGATCCCACATAGCTCATTTAGGATCTATATCAGTCATTACTACTGCATTATGTACCTAGTGTTTTCAAGAAGAAATTCAAAATTATAAGGGAATTTTCTATAGTTCTTTTAAAGTGACCCTATTATGTAAGAATAATTGCATATCTTATTGCATATCTTAATACTTGCATATATCAGAAGAGTAAATTACAGGTCAGACGTTGTCAATATTTAAATGTAAACAATACAAATCTGTTCCCTGAGGCTTTCACTACATTCAATGACCACATTTTGAACATCATTTTCCAAATAAGATCTATATTCTGTTTAAATGTAATATAATATCATATAATTAAAAAATATGTTTGTTTAGAAATGCACAGATGAAAATATCGCTCAAATAAGGTGTAGATTGCGCATAATAATTTTTTGTTCCCAAAATTTGGAAGAAAAAAAAACAAAGACATCGCAATTTTTCCTTTATCTGGTTATAGAATCTGTTTAATGCGTTTATATGATGCTTGCATGATCAAAATATGAAAATTATGGTTTATATTGGAATATGGGGTAACTAAGTAACACAATTAGTTACTTGTTTAGGGAGTAACGCAATATTAAATGAGTAATTATTATTATTATTAGATTTGAAAACATAACCTTACTAGAAGTTCCTGTAATGAAGCCAAAATTTGAAAGGTGAAATTGATAGAATTATTTAAAGAGCTGTTAACTAACCTTTCCATTCTTACCTGGTAGCATGTGCTTTTAAAGTCTCCAACCATCCAAACACTCAGTGAGAGTGTTTTCTCGTGCATGCATTATATGGTATGACTCTTCAGTGAAAATCCTTTTATCTTTAACCTCTTGAGCGGATCAGTCATTCCATTAACTGTCTGATGGCTCTCTTATACTCATGCGGCTGACAGCTGATATAGGTATCACAGATTCATCCGTTTTGACCTTTTTGATCCCACATAGCTCATTTAGGATCTATATCAGTCATTACTACTGCATTATGTACCTAGTGTTTTCAAGAAGAAATTCAAAATTATAAGGGAATTTTCTATAGTTCTTTTAAAGTGACCCTATTATGTAAGAATAATTGCATATCTTATTGCATATCTTAATACTTGCATATATCAGAAGAGTAAATTACAGGTCAGACGTTGTCAATATTTAAATGTAAACAATACAAATCTGTTCCCTGAGGCTTTCACTACATTCAATGACCACATTTTGAACATCATTTTCCAAATAAGATCTATATTCTGTTTAAATGTAATATAATATCATATAATTAAAAAATATGTTTGTTTAGAAATGCACAGATGAAAATATCGCTCAAATAAGGTGTAGATTGCGCATAATAATTTTTTGTTCCCAAAATTTGGAAGAAAAAAAAACAAAGACATCGCAATTTTTCCTTTATCTGGTTATAGAATCTGTTTAATGCGTTTATATGATGCTTGCATGATCAAAATATGAAAATTATGGTTTATATTGGAATATAGGCCTACTTGTGCATGTAATGATTATTGTAGCCTACACTCTAAAAAATGCTGGGTTAAATTTAACCGAGCATTTTTTAGAGTGTATGGTGTGTTTTTTCTTTATTTGGAATTGCTGGTTGCCCCAACTATTGGGTTGTTTTGACCCAGCTATTGTGTTGTTTTGACCCAGCGGTTGAGTTGTTTTGAATCCAACCGCTGGGTCAAAACAACCCAATAGCTGGGTTTGTCCCTTTTTAACCCAGCGCTGGGTTATATTTAACCCAGCATTTTTTAGAGTGTATAATAGATTCAAAAACACTGAAAATGTTGCTTATGTCAGAATTCAGAATTCAAAAGCTGTAACAAAGTTTACTTAAGGGTTTCACATTGGTTTATCAAACATAATACCAGCTGTATAATACATTGTTTTGCCTGAGAGAAAAATCTGACGCTTCTCATTCGGGATCATTAACGGAAATTATCTGTCCAGTAGTCTTGTGCACGAAAGATTTTTGAGTGTGCGAGCACGCCGTGCACTTAATCGACAACAAACCTCTACGCGCGCCTCTACGCACGCACGCACGCACGCACACACACACA